TATCTTTCACTAATAAATGCTACTAATTGGATCCATGTCAATATTTTTAACAGTATAAATCCATATATTTTAAAACTGACTCAAAAATAAAATAATTCTTTATCCAAGTGGTGGTTAAGCAATTCAACCATCTGAATCAAACTGATCAATCTATAAAGTCAATCATAGTTAGGTAATAAAATTTTTAAAATAGAAATAAATATAGAAAATTACAAAAAGTATAGAAAAATTAGACACATTTATGTAATCAAATTATTTTTATTGATAATGAAAATGAAATACATAATCTAGAACTGACCAAAAATGAAATATAAAAATTAATAATAAATAGTTCAACTTTTGGGTTAAATGTATTAAATTTTAACGTCATAAATAAATAATAAAAATTAATAAAAAATAAAAAAATAAAAAATACATACATTTGCAAAAAAGCATTCAGACACATGTATAATATCATATATTTATCATATTAAACAAAAAGTAAGTGTAAAATATCAGATTTAGTTTTACAAACAAAAAATACAAAAAAAAAAATCTATAGTAAAATTTGAACTCATCTATAATTATATATTTACACTACTATTAAAAATATGAATAAGATTGTAGAATTTTCTTTTGACTAAAATTCTCATTTTTGAATTTAGTCCCTATTTAATTGTGAGGTTTAAATTGTAAATTGAACTACTACTTTTCACAATATTCAATTCACTCTATTTAAATCTTACACGGTTTTGATAAATGAACAAAAAAAAAAAGATACAAAAAAACCATTACAAAATGAAGAATTTCACCAAGCAATAAGGTGGAAATGGATTGGACCATGATCTAATCCGCTCCTTTTTGTTGAATTCGGATATCCTCGGTCTAGATCTTTGGGTTGGATAATAGGATCCGATCAAAACCTGGACGAAATTTGGATCACTCCCACACACACACACACACACACACACATATATATATATATATATATATATATGTGTGCTATTTATTTATTTATAAATATATTATTTATATTATATTTTTGTAAATTTGTTATGTTATTTATTTTTTTATAAAAATGTATATATATGATGAAAATAGTTGAAAAGATACTTGAATTTTTTTGTTTTTCTTCATTTAAGTTGTTATATTTTAATTTTCTTTTAATATTTTATTATTTTTTAAATTAAATTATTGGAATGGATCAGATCCAAATATCTGACTTCCTCATCCGATTCATATTCAAATCCATGTTTATGAGATATGATCGGGTCTATTGTTAATAATATTGGATTATTCGGATATACCCTAATTCGAATATGATCCAATCTTTTTGCATCCCTACCAAGCAGGTAGGTTTGCCAATGATACCTAAAACTTCACAACTCAATCCAATAAATACTTTGGATCATTAAGTTTGGATTGGTCCAATTCAATATGTCTTGTTGGTCTGTTCAATCCATCCAAAATGATTTCCAATTCAAAACCAGTCCATTGATACCCTTAAAGGAAACCAGAAACGAAAAACACTTTCTTCAATTTCTGGTTTCAAAAATATAATTTTCAATGGAGATCTTTGATACTAATTTAATCTTATAGACAAGCCGAGCCTAAACTTGGTCAAATGAGTTGGAGCAGCAGAGGCAGAGCTCAACCCATGAGACCAAACCGAGGGACCCTGGATCGATCCAAGGTCTAAAACTCTTATCCAAGAAAAAGGGTTTGAACTTTGAAACTTATCCTCTCTATGCATGGGCTATTACCCATTCATATGGCTAGCACGCCTACCAAGAAAGACAGTGAAGAGCTACACGATTCCCTTTCCGTAATGCTGGAGCACATGAGAATTCGAAGAGGAGATTTTGGCTTGACCTTGAATACAAATTGTATTTTAGTGAGGAGTTGAAGTTGCAGAAGTTTTATCTTCTTCTTTCGTCTTGGGAAATCCAAACTCTTGTAGCCTCTCCGATCATTTCTCCATTATAACTACTACCACCAGTCACAATAAAAGGAAGAAAACAAAATACGAAGCTATAATGGTTCCAACTTTTAAGCAGACAGGATAAACAATCTCTCATGCATGGATTTTAATTAAAGATGACTCACACACAGAAGGATAACTACTATACAAAATTGTCTCATCTAGTTTGGACCTCTGGTCCATATCCTCTAAATGGTTTCTACTAAATAAATACATAATTAGATGGATGCTTGTGAGAGTTGTAATTAGCTGAACGCATTGACTCTTTTGGAGGCCGTGGAACCAATCGAGTTTTTAAAATCGACCCGGAAAATGAACTGGTGAGGGGTTCGGTTCTCGGGTCGAACGATCCGATCCTTTGAATCGAACAATTGGCCCATTCTGATAAAAAATATTAAAAAATTAAAAAATGGTCAAAAATGTTCGAACGATTAACCGTTTAAGTCAGTGGTTTATTGTCTAAAATCAATAATTTTTAGGAAAAAAATGGTTTTGGGGAAAAACAGAATCGGTCTTGACCGATTCCCGATTTTCCTAGTCCGATCATCCAGTCCAATCCGGTTTTAAAAACCATGAAACCAATAATAACACTTCCATGCCAGAGAGATTGAATTAATGGTTGTAGGTCTTGGAATGTAATACATTTTAGAACCTCATCAATTAAGGGGATGTTGCACAACATGAATGCTCTTGTTTCTAAAATTATCACATGAAAATTTGAAAACAGTTATTGAGCAGTGATTTTTGTTTTGAAAAGCAAGAAAAAAAAGTTGGTTTTATTTGAAAATCAATTCATATTTTTGAAACCATCGAAAATATACATCTGGCAATTGTAATAGGATAGCTCCCGGACTAGCCCAATTTGCCGTTAGACATAACTGATCTATGGCCTGGACTTCTATTCCCAATTTCATAGGGTTATTGATCTCCAGTAAGATGTAATCTTGGGTAATGAAAATTTCCTGCCTTTGAGTTAAATAAAAAAAAAAAACCAGAGAAATTATAATTTTCAATGCAGTTACAAAGTTTGAAAAAATCTATGCTGCTAGAAAGACATGCTACCAGAAGAGTTTTGACCAATCAAATCCACCTTCAATGTAAACTTTGACAAATACCACTTTTTATCGTACTTCTTGATTGGTTACAAGTTTTTCCGCTTTCATGTCTTTACAGTATCGTAGGCAAACCCATACACACTATATAATGTTTGAAACATGATATCAAATCACCAGATGATGATATGTTACGTTCTTTAAACAAGAAATTCAACAACTTGTTTTAGGTTTCAATTTTGGAAACTATTTAGTTTGAGAAGAGTGCAAATGCGAATACTTACAATGCAAAATCTTGTAAACCTTGTATTTGCACTATACATATTTGTGTTTGTACCATTTTCAAACTATTGTATTGTAAACCTTGTAGTTGTATTGTATACATCTTAGTTTGGAAGGAGTTTGTATGTATTTGCACTGTATATATTTGTATTTATACTTCTTGTAAATTGAATCGTATATATTTACATTTACACTTCAGTTTGGAAAAAATACAAATACAAATATATTAAAAAATACAAGATTTTGCACTCTACATATTTGTATCTGTGCTCCTTCAAAACTGAGTATAATACACAATCAAGAATATGCATCTTACTAAAAAAAGCTAAGAATATATTTTATGTTTTTCTTTTTTTTTGGTTTTAAGTGATAATTTGTTTTCGAACTACACCGTTTTTATTTATGAAAATATGTAGAAAAGATGGGTGGTCCAGCGATCAAGCTTATTAGGAGACCATCTTCCACACACAAATTGAAGATAAGACTTGTAGACAATAGAATATTGATGAGATATATTAAAATATAATATCCTTGTAATATTAAATATATCATATAACAAATAGAACAATCTTTAAGACAAGGCCAAATAAATTTTGGTAGTAAGTAGAATTTGCACCTGAGGTGATTTCGTTATTAAATACTTCCTAAACACCCTATTTTAAGGAAACAATTTAATATTTGTTTTTATCATTTTGTTCTTAATTTACAGCTAAATGTTAAAAATTTAAGTACTTTCCTTTGATATGCCCATCAAGAAAAGTACTTCTACCAATAAATCATAAGAAAAACACAATAGTGATATCCTTAAATATTGCTACGATCTAAATGATCTTCTATCCAGCTGAAGCAGCAATACCAGTTGACTGCAATGAGTCTCTTCTACATTTCAAACAAGGGATTAAGGAAAAGCTCATAGCATCACCTTGTTTTGTGAAGCACTTTCCACCTTGTTTTGACGCACTTTTCCCCATTTTCTTATGTCCTTTTTGGTAGGGAGGGATTGGATAAAACAAAGTAGGATTTGGGTTTATTTAACCAAGGTTTTTAAAACTGAATCGGACAATAAACCAGTCAGGATCTGGTTCTTTGGCGTTTAATCATTTGAGTCGAACAGATGACCCGTTCTAACAAAAAAATAAAAAACAGCAAAACTATTAGACGGTTCAAACGGTTCGAATGATTTGACCACCTGAGTCAGAACTGATAACCTGACCAGTGACCGGTTCCTGGTTTTTCCGATCTGACCATCCGGTCCGGTCCGATCCGATTTTGAAAACCATAATTTAAATAAAGAAACAAGATTGAGAAACTAATAGTGTAATCCCACCACGGATATATACAAGAAACTAATAGTGTAAGGCCATGGTGACGTGGCACGGATATATACAAGAAAACAATTTGGGTATAATCCCACCACGGAGCATGATAGTTGGAGAAGAAGCATCACACTAAGTGCCTGCAGCTGTGGCTCCATGGGCCAATCATTATCCCGAAACGATAATGAAAAGTGAAGAAAAGAGAGTAAAATTTTAAAAAGAAAGCAACGAAATCTTTTATTTTGTTTTTTCCTCTAAATTGGAAGAATTGGAAGCTTACTATGGGCATCACTTTTATCACAAGACAAGAATTACGATTTCTTTCTGCTATAAATTGGCAAACTTGGAAGAACCTTTGCATGAACTTCTCATAGTTGTAGAAAACATATTTCTCTTGAGGTTCTCGCCATGGCTGCATCCTGCTCGGTACCTTCAATGGTAAGAAAAGATCAGGGCCTTTTCTATAGTAGTATGCCTATTTTATCTAATTCCTAACTGTTCTAAGGTATTGCATGAAATGGGTCATTAGTTTCTCTTCGTAGGATATTGAATCTTGATCGTATTGCAGTTGTTGAAAGTCCCATGAAATGACCAAAATCATGCTTCTCTTGGTCTATGAAATGGATTTCTATGCTTTGGGGACTGGGTATTACTTGCTGCATATATATGTATCATGCTCTATGGAATTCAAGCTACTTTTGACTGTTTTGTGAAGAAGAGATGCTCAGTTTCTGTTTAGTGGGCCTATTCTGTTGATCTAGTGTTGAACTTATTAACATCTGTGGAATGACTTTGATTCTTTTCACTGGGTTCTTTATGAAGTTCTAGGGAACTATATATACCGACATTTCAAATGTTTAAGCCATATGCAGAAGTTTCCCTCCATACTCGAAAGGAAAAGTTGATTAATTAACAAAAGATCTTACAATTATAGAGTGCTCTTTCGGATTATTGGCTCTTCTATGGGATCTATGGATTTCTTTTTCTGTTATATGCACTGGTCTCAATTTTACTGCTTTCATCAACCCTTTCTTCTCTTCTATTAATTCTAGAATTCTTAAACTGTCTTGTAGATAATGGAAGAAGAACGGAGGTTTGAAGCTGAAGTTGCAGAGGTGCAAGCATGGTGGAACTCTGAGAGGTTCAAGCTAACACGTCGACCATACACGGCTAGAGATGTGGTCTCCCTTCGAGGCAACCTCAGACAGAGCTATGGCTCCAATGAGCTTGCCAAGAAACTGTGGAGGACTCTTAAGATCCACCAAGCCAATGGGACTGCATCAAGAACCTTCGGTGCTCTCGACCCAGTTCAAGTCACCATGATGGCCAAGTACTTAGATACTATCTATGTCTCTGGTTGGCAGTGTTCATCCACGCACACAACCAGCAATGAACCGGGGCCAGACCTTGCAGACTACCCTTACGACACTGTCCCGAACAAGGTCGAACACCTCTTCTTCGCTCAGCAATACCATGACAGGAAGCAAAAGGAGGCTCGAATGAGCATGAGTCGGGAAGAGAGAGCCCGAACACCTTATATAGATTATCTGAAGCCTATAATTGCTGATGGAGATACTGGTTTCGGTGGTGCAACTGCTACTGTTAAGCTTTGCAAGCTTTTCGTTGAGCGTGGAGCAGCTGGAGTCCATATTGAAGATCAGTCTTCGATGACTAAGAAGTGTGGGCACATGGCTGGAAAGGTTCTGGTTTCAGTCAGTGAGCACATCAATAGGCTCGTTGCAGCCAGATTGCAGTTTGATATCATGGGGGTCGAAACTGTGTTGGTGGCTCGTACTGATGCTGTCGCTGCTAATTTGATTCAGACCAATGTTGATACCCGAGACCATCAGTTCATACTGGGAGCAACTAATCCCAACCTTAAAGGAAAGAACTTAGCCACGATCCTGGGTGAAGCTATGGCTGCTGGAAAGACTGGATCTGAGCTTCAAGCTATCGAGGACAATTGGTTATCCATGGCCCAATTGAAGAGCTTCTCTAAATGCGTAATGGACGCGATTAAGAGCATGAACATTGGGGAAGAAGAGAAACAGAGGAGGTTGAATGAATGGATGAATCATTCTAGCTATGAAAAATGTCTGTCAAAGGATCGAGGCCGAGAAATAGCTGCGAGGCTGGGACTTAAGAATCTGTTCTGGGACTGGGACTTGCCTAGAACGAGAGAAGGGTTCTACAGGTTCAAAGGATCAGTAATGGCGGCAGTTGTGCGTGGTTGGGCTTTTGCGCCTCATGCCGACCTGCTCTGGATGGAGACATCGAGCCCCAACATTGTGGAGTGCACCCAATTTGCTGAAGGGGTGAAGTCTAAGTACCCAGAAATTATGCTAGCCTATAACCTCTCTCCCTCCTTCAACTGGGATGCATCGGGGATGAGTGATGAACAAATGAGAGACTTCATCCCTAGGATTGCAAAGTTGGGCTTCTGCTGGCAGTTCATAACTCTGGCTGGTTTCCATGCGGATGCGCTGGTGACTGATACCTTCTCCAAGGAATTTGCAGAGAGAGGGATGTTAGCTTATGTGGAGAAGATTCAGAGGGAGGAGAGGAACAATGGAGTTGAAACATTGGCTCACCAGAAGTGGTCAGGTGCAAATTACTATGATAAGGTGCTCAAGACTGTCCAGGGAGGCATTACTTCTACTGCTGCCATGGGGAAAGGCAAGTATTCCTCTCTCTCTCTCTCTCTATATATATATATATATATAATTGTATCTATATATTGCTAGATCAGGAAGATTGATTCATGAATGCAGTAGCAAGTAGAAAGGCTAGATCTATTTAGGCGGGGTTTGGCAAGTCTTTTGGGCTTCTGCAAGCTCGGAAGACTGAAATTCGGTCTTTTTTTTTTATGTTTAGTAACCAAAAGATGAAAAGATGAGAAAACACATGCACGGAAAAATTCAAAAGCACTGAAACACCAATTTCACAAAGCTTTTTAGTCTTTCAGTGTGATAGATAGCCTCTAAACGCATTTTTAGAAGTCCATTAGCCTGATAAACTGAACCGATTACCAAACTATCTTTGTGTTTAAAGACAAGACTCTAAAAAGCTCAAAATGTAGGCTGCTGGAAGATTTTCTAAAAAACTTGCCTTTCCATGCATGCATCCACTAATCTACTTATGGAATGAATTTGTTTTCAGGAGCGACTGAGGAGCAATTCAGAGAGACGACGTGGACTCGGCCAGGAACCATGGGAATCAGCGAAAACAACGTTGTGGTTGCCAAGTCAAGAATGTAGGGATATGTTATCACGCATCAGTCATAGTTTCGGAGCTTTAGTTGCTATCTCATATGTTAAAAGTGGAAATGAAGTAATTAAGAATAAAAGTTGTGTAATAGTTCTGGGGGAAAATTGGGCTTGGGCTTAATTAAGCCATAGAATTGTTGGTTAGGGGGTTCTACATTGGGAAAAATGGGTTTCATGTATTCTCGCTTGGAAAACAACTTTTATGTAAAACAAAAGGTTTTATCTTATACATATTTATTATTATAGGATATGTTCAAGTCTCCCGGCGGTATTTTGAGAGATTTGTATGGTGGGCCGTGGGTATTAAGTTCATCATTTTCAAAATCAGACCGGACTGGATGGTTGGATTGAAAAAACTGGAAATTGGTTAGATAATTAGTTTCATTTCACCTTAAAATCGCTTTTTAGCTAAAAGTCAAACGGATAATAGTTTTTGACCATTTTTTATTTTTTAAGTCAGAATGAATTATCTATTTGAACCGGATGGTCGGACCATTCGACCTGGGACCAGTCCCAAAAACAATTCCCTAGCTGGTCTGGTTTTGAAAACCTTGATTAAGCTTATACATACCCGGGCAATTCATATTGATCCATTTTGGTTGTTGAGAAATCAACGAAAATAGAATAGTGTGAATCCTGTAACAAAAGATGTAGTCTCACTTAAACAATGCAAGAAAAAGCAGGCAATAAGGCTATGCATCATACTTTTTCTGTTCCTTTTTCTTTCAAATCAAACACATACTAAGTTACAAAACAATTTTTCTCATTAATATTAGGGCTGCAAATGGATCGGATCGGATTCAATAAGGGCATATCCGATCCGATCCGTTAAGAAAATCCAATTGACTCGAATCCGATAAGGATTCATCTGATTTTTAAAAGCATGATTCGAATATTTGAATTCAAATGTATTATCAGATATCCGATTTGAATCCAATTTGATTAGAATTGTATTTATATTATGTAACATAAATAAGGGCAATTTCCTTAAATTATTCCTATTGTTTGCGAAATTGACTAACTGTACCTTACTGTTTACATATTGTCTTAAAGTACCCTTATCGTTTTTAAAAATTGACATCACCGATAAATGCTAATGAAAAGAAATGAAATATCAAATTTGCCCTCCACTATTTCTCAAACAGGGGTTGGCATATGCATGGCAAACAGGGAGAGCGAACTACGAGAATGATCTACGACTAGAGGCAGATGATAAAATAGGGGAGAGCGGTTGAGAGAGAGAGAGAGTGAGAGAGAGACCGGAGAGAGACAGAGGCGGAGGGGGAGGAACTATTTCAGGAACAACAATAACAATGGTGGGTAGAAGTTGTCTGGAGGAACTATTTCAGGAATCACAATCGGGTCAATGGTTACTTTTATCTTGATTCTTTTGATTTTCTTCCTTCTCTGCGGAAAGAAGATAGTAGAAAAACGAACGATATTGCAATGATGAATCAGCTACCGTTAGAAGTTGTGTTGAATCTCGAAGAAATTAGAATATTCTGGCGCAGCAACAACAGCTGTGTTGCTTCTGTCGTGAGGACTCACCATTAGTTTTGTACCTAAACCGACGAGGTGTAGATGTGGGGAGATGGGGGTAGATTTTTTTCCCAGATTTGTACCTGAATCGGACCTATGCCAAGCGGCTGTCATGGCCATTGTCGGAGGAACCCTTAGACTGAGTTTGGAAAGAGTACAAATGCAAATATGTATTGTGCAAATCGAGCCTAAGGCTCTGTTTGTTTGCGATACAAACGCTGAACTGGGGTATTTATGTACTTTGATTCGCGTTTGTGAGTGTTTGTTTAATATGTAAAAAAGTAATGATTATCAGAGTAAAATGTATTTTCTACACTTTTGTACTTTAAGAAGATAGTATTACTGTACCTATTTTTTGGATACAATTTTGTGTTCAAATTTTTGACCAAAATTAAAGCATTGGAGTATTTAATGATGGGCCCACACTTTACACCAATTTCAAACAAACAAGGTGAATACAAAAATGATTTAAAATGTGAATCATATTTGCATTCATGAACCGAAAATGGATAAATATGTAATGTATTGTGATTGCATTGCAACCAAACGCAGCCTTAAAATCAATACCGTGAGGAGTGATGACTTACCATTGGCATCTCAAATTAGCTGTGGAGGAGGTGGACTGGGGAGCGTTTTCAAAGCAGCATTGTCACGTTCTAGCCTCTCTCTCTCATTTGGACTCGGCAAACCCAACTTCGGCTTGCAAATGCCTCTATAAATGACAGAAAAGACTCGGTTTGTCTGTGCCGCTGCTCCACTTATACCAATCATCATTGATGTTGATATGGGTGGTGGCAATCGTTTCAATGTTCAAAGGACTATCCATCAAGCATGGCGAAAGAAGTGTGGCAAAGAAGTGAGGATCAATGTTCAATGGGTATTGTTGGAGTAGGTTTTCTAAACGGTGACAGTGTTGAGATGAAGGGGGCGAGGGTAATATTGGGTTTTGAAAAAAATTTATAGGTCACGTGGGGTCACTTGTGCATAGATCGTGATGGAGCATTAACGGATGCTAACGGTAGGATAGAACTAGTCAATTGTCAGAAACAGTAGGAATAGTGTTAGACAATAGTCAAATAATAAGGGCATATTTAGTCAATTCCGCAAACAATAGGATAGTTTAAGGAAATTGCCCTATAAATAATATAAATAATATAAATATATTATTTATATAATATAATAATATATTCAAATATATAATATAATAATATATTCAAATATATAATATATACTTATATAAATAATATATAGAATATACATATATAATATCTAAATAATATATAATATATAATATTTCATAATTAACGGATCAGATCAACCAATCTGATCCAATTTGTTAGGATCAATATCCAAATCTGCCTCTTAATGGATTGGTATAAGATTCAGATCGGATCTGATCTGACTTATTTGTAGGCTTAATTAATATGGCCACCTGATGCTAATACCCATAAAATAATTCTCAAATTGGAATGAGATTTTTATTCCAAGGGGGAAGACACCCCCTATTCCCATGATCCAAATGGACCCTAATTTTTTGAACATAGCATCATACCATGGGTAAAAGATGGAGTAAATTATCGTTCAGCCTTCCCCAAAACCCTGGACCCCAACTATAATGTCCTAATTCAAATAAATGTACTTTATATATTATTTGGATTTAGGTAAATCTGGGTCAACCCAGTTTGCTCCGTTTAATTTGCACCCTATCATGGTTTTTAAAATCGAACCAGTGATTGAATCGGTCAGAGGTCCAGTTATCGGGTTGAATGATCTGATAATTTGAATCGAATGTTTGGCCCGTTCAAACAAAAAAATTAATAAAATTCAAAAAAAATCAAACAAATAAAAAATAGTCAAAACCGTTTGAATGATTTGAATGACTAACCGCCCGATTCAGCGATTCACTGACCAAAATCAACGATTTTAATGCTAGTATTTAAATACATGGAGCCTACATCTTTACGATGGGATTAATGACATGAACAAACCTCATCATTCGTTTCACAACCCACTGAGCCAGCTAATCCAAATTGCGGGTTGCCCAACTGTAGCGGGTTGTGCCAAGTTGGCATGGGGCCATGTCTACCTAGCTAGGAACCCCTCAAAAGGGAGGCCCAGCATGGAACAGTAAAATTAGAATAAGATAGTCAGATAGATAAGAAATTGAAAAAAATACAATAAAATTAGAAAAAATAATATAATAAAATTGAAAAGAAAAATTTATATACATTTATATGTATAAATGTGTGGGCTGTACCGGGCTGCTATGCTGGCCTGCGGGCCTCAAAACCCAAGCCCGGGACGGCCCGGTTGGTACAGTGATCGGGCCGTGCCGGCCCGATTTTTCTACACTATCACTAGTTATCAGGCGAGGATGATCATCAGGGTCAGGGATTGAGGGATATGTACCTTAGAATCGTACTTAGAATACACTTTCCCTGTTCCTAGTGGTCTTCATGACATGAATGTTGTCAACGAGGAACACCAACCATAACCAGCAGCTCGGTGAACTCAAATGCTTCTGAGGAAGTCTCCTCTTTTCCTCAGAAAACTTTCCTCGTTAACTACTTCTCTCAAATGGAGAAACCAAGTCAAGCAAAACCAGCTCGTTTCCCAAATCTCCTCCATTCTGTTACAGAGAAATAATTGGATTCCGCTTCTCCGTCAGTTGAATCTCTCTCTCATCCTAACACCCAATCTCTTCATCCAAATCCTTTGCAAAACCAAAGAAAAGCCGGAAATCTCTTTGGATTTCTTCAATTGGGCCAAAACAAATGTGGGGTTCGAACCAGATCTCAAGTCTCACTGTAAAATTATCCAGATTTTAGTAGAATACCAGCTTCTAAAACCTGCTAGACCTCTCTTCGATTCTATAATTCGATCCGAACCGGCGTCAGATGTTTTCGATTCGATGGTCGAAGCATGTAAAGGTAGAGACTCTCATTCTCTTGTTTTTGATTTTCTTCTGGAACGTTATTCGGGAAAAGGCTTGGTTTTTGAAGCTCTAAATATATTTAAGAAAATTAGGGTTCTTGGGTATGTGCCTTCTACCCGCAGCTGCAACGCTTTGCTTGATGCCTTACAGCTGACGGACGATGTAAAACTGGCGTGGAAGTTTTACGCTGCTGCTGTTCGTAGCGGAATTATACCGGATTCCTTTTCCTGGTCTTTGATCGTTCGGCTTCTTTGCAGAGAAGGGAATCTCAAGAGCGCGGTAAGATTGTTGAACTTGGGCATCTATAGTGCTGCAATATATAATCTAATCATTGATTGTTACTGTAAAAATGGGAACTTTAGCACTGCGGTTGATCTGTTAAGTGAGATGCACAGTAAGAATCTCACTCCTGGTTTTGGTACTTATAGCTCAATCCTGGATGGGGCATGTAAATTCGGAGATGCTGGAGTTATTGAGATGATAACTAGGGATATGGTTGCCAGGAAATTGCTTCCAGCGGTTCCTTCCTCCAATTATGATCAAATTATTCAGAACCTTTGCTCCTTAGGAAAGATCTATGCAGCTGAAATGTTCTTTGACAAAGCTAGGGATGAGAAAATCAAATTACGTGATGCTTCGTGTGGGTGCCTTTTGAAGGCATTTTCTAAGGATGGAAGAGTGAAAAAAGCCATCTCGATGTACAGCACAATCTCAGAAAGAGGCATCACAGTTGATCGTAGTAGTATTTTTGCACTTGCTGATTTAATTTGCAAGGAAGAACCATCTGAAGAAGTATATAAATTGTTAAAAGATGTGGTTGAAAGGGGATTTAATCCTTGTGCTTTGGATGTGTCCAAAATTATAGGAACTCTTTCTAATGAGGGGAGATGGAAGGAAGTGGAGGATCTTGTGACTGTGCTTGTAGAGAAGGGATTCATCCCAGATTCCTTCTGTTGTTGCTCACTGGTAGAGCATTACTGCTCAGACAGAAGGATTGATTTAGCAGTTACTTTACATCATAAGATAGAGAAACTGGGGAGATGTTTCGATGTAACAACTTATAATTTACTTCTTAATGGGCTTTTTGTAGAAAGGAGGATTGAAGAAGCAACTAGGGTATTTGACTATATGAGACAACACAATGTGGTGACCACTGACAGTTTTTCAATTATGATCAGGGGACTTTGTCATGAAAAGGAACTGAGAAAAGCAATGGTGATTCACGATGAAATGTTGAGGATGGGGCTGAAACCTGATAAAGCTACATACAAGCGTTTGATATCTGGGTTTGTGTAAATAAATGCTGACATATTTATTGGAAAGGGTTAAATATTAGAATGGTTATTGATGTTCTTATATTCCCTGTATCCTACTACCAGAAGCATTAGATGGGATGGATTTTAGACGCATCAGAATATCAGATCTCTTGAATATCAAATTTTGAATTCTTTTATCTTATAAAAACTGTATACTGTTGTATGGATATCTGCATTTTGGTGGCATCAACATGCCATCATGCAATTCCAATATATTTCTGCTAAACCATTGGATTTGATATGAAGATCAAATGTATTGATACACCCAATATGCACAAACATGCGTCATCACTATTTTGAAACACCTTAAAATAGGCATTTTGTTGGTCTGTCAGAATGATACAATATGGGGCATATTGTATCAATACTTTGAAACTTGTTTGATAACTATTGTATGGAGAATTTGCCACCAGTGAGGTTTTAAATTCAAAGGCAGCTGAGTGGTAAGACAAGTCTGTTGAGTGTAGTAGGACGTGACTGTCACTTCTACATTGCCTTGCAAGTTCGTGCGGTCTTTCTGTGCTTTTAAGATATGTCCTTCACTTCAACTGAGCCAAATAGGAGTGACCATCTGATTTTAGGCTGCCTGCAGCCTAGACCAAGAGTAACTCCTCACCTAAAGGAATTGTATTAAGATGCAAGCAGGGGATATTTGCGGATTGCAGCAGACTCCTCTATTTACTTCTGCATAACGTCAAATCAGAGAAGTAGCCCATCCTTGAATTTGTTCAGCTTCTGTTATATGTTCAATGTGATTTTCTGTAGTTACTTCAAACTTGGCCTGTGAAAGCTTTTAGCTAACATAGCTAAGTCTTCTGGATCTTCTCTGATCTTCTGTATGCTGGAACATTTGCAAGGAAATTACCTGAGCTTATTTTCAAGAGCATGGTTCACCTGGATAACCAGGTTATTTTCAAGCACATCCTTTCCAATCTTTTGAGAGCTCTTCTGACCTTATGCTTGATCGTTTCTGGACTACCCTGCAGATGAGCCTTTTATTTGTTCATATATTCTTCTGTAAATGAGTTTTTCCCTTTTCTTGCATTGGCATTTCTTTCTTCCTATGCACTGCTTACAGAATAGTGTTTCAGTTCTTGTCAGCTTCAAGGATACGGAAGCTTTAGGTCTAATGTTTCTGAACTTTTATCTTTGGGGTCTCTATGCATCACAGGTCAGTTTTTCATGCTTAGTCATGAAGTGTTAGTTTTATTTATTTGGTGGGGTAATTAGGGATGGAGAAGGCCAAATGAGATTAAGCTTCTCTGGTTCCTGCTGAGTTAAGAAATTCTCTGAGTGCAGAACTGATGGCAGTAACACATGGATTAAAATTTGCACAAATGAATGGCTGGAAGGTCTTCATAGTGGAAGGGGATTGTCAGGTGGTTTTGTCTTAGCTGCAATCAGGTGGAGTTCCATGGGCATATCAATTCCCAGTCAGGGAAGCCAAATCCTTGGGTAAAATCTTGAACTTTCCAAAGCAGGAAACTCAAGGAAATCTTGAGAATGGGGAATAGTAGTCAGCTTTTTTGCTGTTTTATTGGTTCTGTTATTGGTACCCACTTGGGTTAACATGTATGACTTTCATTTACTTTTCACGTGAATGTAAATTATTTTGTTATTTATCAAAAAATATAGTGCTTTCATTTATAGAGTGTATTGTCTGCTTCTACAAGCAATTACATGTTTTCTGAGTTTTGTCTGATGAGCATCAAACCTATTTCATATAATCATCACTGTGACCTGAGAATGTGATCCAATAGGGCAGATACCAGTCAAGTACTTTACAAAAACTGGTCCCAAAACCCCATACAAGGTCTTCATGTAAAAAAATATATTGGTCTAAGATCGATGAGAAAGAAATTAGTGATGCCTTTGTTTCTTATTGTTGGAAAGTGTTTGTATAGAAAACAGAAACAGCAATCAAGAAGAATAACTCCTAAGTTTGGCTTTCCCTTTCTATATCTTCCATGGTTTCAAGATTGAGAGTATGATGATAATTGCAATTACCAGAATGATCGAAATAGTGATCATCATGCATCTCGACTTTTTCTGTAAGCTCTTTTTGTTTGCAGGGTATTGGGTCCCCATTGAACGTGACCTACTGCATTGGCAACCTGCAAAATTAACGATAAATGTATAACACTCCTGAATCAAGCAAATAATCATAATGAAGTGAATAGGTCAATTTCAAATATGAAAAGATTACCAGAGTTAAATATAGTAGATCATGTATATATATTCTATAAAACATTATGAAAAATCCTTGAAGCTTTACCCCACTATGTATCATATTTTTATGCTTGATAGGCCTATTTCATGGAGTTCTGCCATTTATTTACATTTAAAAGTGTAGTTATTCCCGACTTAGCAGGAATCCAATTACATTAACAGACACTAACTAGAAAATTGTAGTTATTTGACCATAATGCACTCATAATGTACAAAAGTGTAATGCCTTGAAACAAACCTGATTCTCGATGTTATCAAACATATCTCCTTTGGCCACAGCTAGAACTCCCAAACCCATGCAAACCTGACAAAGACACAGCAATAATCTATGACATTTGCTAGAGCCTAGAGGAATGTCGAAAGTTTAAAATGTGGACAGAGAGCTATACCTGATGCAACTCAAGAAGTTTCTTCACAATTTCTTTTAGTGCATCAATTCTCTCTTGAATTTCTTCCAGTGTGTCCAAAACATGTAACCACAGATTGATACTAGACTAACACAAGACAGAAAATAGTTATATAAAGAACCCTTTATATAAACCTCAAAAACTCTTTTTCCCTGTTAATAAATTCTTAAGGACAAAAGGATAAGGGATTAATGTGCTCAAAAGGACAAAAGGATAAGAGGAGAGTTTAAGATTTATTTCTTACCAATCCAGTGCTCATTAGTCAGTGCTTCAAAAGACAGGTGAATAAGATCAATGGTGTCACAAATGATAAAGGAAACATACTTGTCTTCTTCCTGCTTCTTGAATTGCTTTCTGGAAGAATTGTTGCACTGCTTCCAGTTTCTATCAGGTGATCTATCATCTAACAGTAGTCACCAGTTAATTTAAAAACTATATTAGTTGTTGGTTTGCAGTTTAAAATATTTCCACTTTTAGGGTAACTAACCTCTTTATCTGGTCTGGTCCCGTGACTGTTCACCCCAAATTAAAAAAAAAAAAAATAATCAATGAAACAAAGAATGACCAAGTAAAAGAAGATGGCAAGACAGAATCAGTGTTTTAAAAGGCGTGGGAGGCGTACGCCTAGAGGCGGCGCCTCCAGGCGAGGCGCTCCCAAAACGCCTTGAGGCATATGCCAGAGGCGTTGACACCTCTAAGGCGTACGCCTCAGGTGTAAGAGGCGTACGCCTCATGCGCTTTTTTTCATGAGGCATGCTAGAGGCGTATGCCTCATGCGCCTCATGCACATCTTATATAAAAAGACAAAAAAAAAAGAAAAAGAAAAAAAAAAAAAGGAAAGGAAAGGAAAAGAAAAGAAAGGGAATAGAAAGAAAAAGAAAGAGAAGAAAAAAAAAGAGAACAGAAAAGGGAAGAGAAGAAAAGATAAGGGGAAAAAAAGTGGTTTGCCCCCTTCCTCTTCATCTTCCCCCCTCCTCTTAAGGAGGCTTATGCCTCTTGTGTTCTGAACTACACCTCACACCTCTAGGTAGTGGAACGCCTCATGTCACGCCTCCTTGTTTTAAAACATTGGACAGAATAAACAAACATTACAGAAGGCACCATTATCATTCGTTTATTATTAGAACCTCTAATGATTCTCCTCTACACAACCTCACTGTACTCATCCTGGATCTTTTGTCTGAGAGCCTGAAACACATGCTTATGGACTAGAAGACTAATACAAAAGTGACAAGGACAAACTGCAGAAAGCAATCAAGTTAATACCTGAAATTCAGTAATTTGCCCCTTGAATTTTTTCACCAAGGCACTGCAACTCAGCAAGGAAAAAGTGGAATGTTGGAGCAGCACTTAACTTTGCCAAACCCAAAAAATGGTAAGGCTTAGTTGCAACTAAAAAGTTAGCCACTAGTTTATAAGGAAAAATCTGAGACTCGATTTTGGCACAACTTACATGGTCATATTCATCCTGGTGCGATCAATACCTGTTCCCTTTCCACACCCAGGGTTTTGTCTGTTTGCTAAGTTCTTAAGAGGAAGAAAAGGGTCTTAATATATACTTCAGTTGGGTATTCTGTCCTATAAAAATAGCAACCAACTTGGAAACACAAGAGAAAGAAAAGAAAAGGGCAATATGTCTTCATAGATTGCTTCAAGTTTTGCTTTGATGTTATGTGCTGTCTCTCCCACTTCCTCAACATGTTTCTCCATTTGTTGATTGATTGCTGAAAATGACTCAAGATCACATATAGAGATATGGGGAAAATGTTCAATTACAATAAACATAAAAAGCCTGTTATTATCAGCAGTTAGGAATTGGCCAAGTATGATCATGTTTCAAGAATTTGACCTGAACTCCTAGCACTTGCCCAAGTTGAGATAAATACTTTTGCTAAATTTATCAGGGAAGAAGTTCCTCGTCAGCACAGCTGCACAGGACTGCTAATGGTGATACCAACACCACATGGTTGCTAGACTCTTTGGCAGAGCCGAGTTGGTTCTAAATTGGCTTTTTTAGTTGGTTGTGACATTGTTTGTTGTTGATCATTATGCCCCCAAGTTCAGGTGACTCTTGAGGCTGAACTAATAGTGGTACCTGTACCACACTGTCCGTAGATTCTTGATGTAGCTAAGTTGATTCTAACTTGGTTTTTCTAGTTGATTGTGACATCTATATTTAAGTTGCTTATTTTTGGCCTTTCACCATAAAATGGATAAGAAATGGCTTATGTTTAAGATCGATCCATTTCTTGACCCTTTTGCATTGATATAAATGGAACCTAAAAGGTAAACTCCAGATCAAAAACCTATACTAGAGAACATCATGGTTTACACTGCCCATAGTCGTGGAGATGAAAAATCCAATGTGTTTGGCACTTGCCATTACCTATGCTAAAATCTTCAGATTATGCTAGAACTATGCCCATATTTATTTACAGACCTGGCAATTGAAAATGTCAATTTTGCATAAATCCTAGATGCTCAATTTGGAAGGGGTATAAATACAAATATGTAGAATGCAAAGCCTTGTATTTTGTATGTATTTGTAGTGTACATATTTGTATTTATAGCTAGAGATATAAAACTTGGATGGGATTGATTAGAAAGTAGTGGACATCTTGTTATTGTAGAACACCATGACGTACATAAGTCCTAGAGATATGAAACTTGGGTTGGATTAGAAATTTAGAAAAGAGTAGGAAATCTTGTTATTGTACAACACCATGACGTACTTTTACTTAAAACAAGAGAAAAAAAGTAAGCTTTAGAAAAGAGTGTAGGACATGATGTCTAATTTCCAGAGCAGAAATTAAAAATCACAGAAAGTTTCGAGGATAAAGCATTATTCACATAAAACAAACTTTGTACCTTAAGTTTCTTGAGTAGCCCAGAGTTTATCCATCTGTTTCTCAACCTCTTGTATCTGAAGCATGGGTCCCGATTATGAAAAACCATATCATATCTGAAACCTGTACTGCTGCCACATATACAGCAGTTATTGGGTTTATTTAAGTAATCAGTAATTGGCTTTTTATATGTTAATTAAAATTTAAAAGAGTCTTTAACTTATCCGTTAACCGAATACTCCGTTACATTCTTATCTTCTTCCAGTAATTCAAGATATAGATCGTGGGAATCAGATTCAGGACACATTAAACAATTTGTTATAGACTTCCAAACACGAGAGAACCTTTTCCTGTTCTATTTCATGACAAAACTAGCGTAGTTGAGACAACTAATAAGGTGATGCAAAGCCTTAGATCTTTGAAGGACCCATTATTAGTTCCCATCTTTTGTTATCTCCTTCCCAACAACATCTAGATCTAAAATACAAGAATTTAGACCTATACTAGAATCTAGTAATGATCATGCTCTTGCAAATAATACAGATGTATTTCTCCTGTATCCTCCCAGAGCAGTTGTCTGACATACAAGAGCCTAGCAAGAAAAGCGAAAAAAATCTCAAAACCAGTTCTTTGAATCATTGAACTACCAGGGGGAGAGAGAGAATCAGTAACACTGCAAAACATGATATTCAGTCAAATGGATATTTGCAACATGCATTTTTCTCCCCTATCCAGGTCCATTTTCAGACACAATGCATTCAGATCGTCACCTAACAACGTTTTAGGAGAACCAAGCATCAGGATCTTCCTCCCAACCAATCGAATGTTATTCTATCAGAAAAATCCCATTAATCAACAAACTCAGACTTGCAATGCAACCACCGAAGATAAAGAGATTCCAAATGAAGACCCAAATACGCAAGAATGAAAGAATGATGAACATATATAAATTGGTAGAGAAATAAAACCAAACAAGACAAACCCATCAAAGTAAAAGATCTGCAAGAGCAAAATTAAGAAAAGAAAGGAAGAGAGACAATGTTTACCATCATATTTGACAGGGTGAGAGAGCAAGAGGATGAGGATCACTTGAAGAAGCACAAGGGTGACGAGGTGACACTGAAGAGAAAACATTGTTGTCAGCGATGATTCAACAGGGGTGGTGAGCTGAA